GAGAACTGCTAGAAGCCAGGAGGAAGAGGTTGCAGTGAGCCGAGATCATGCCACTGCACTCCAGCATGGTATGTATATACCTATGCAGCAATCCTGCAAGATCTGCACATGTACCCCAAAACATAAAGTAAAATAAAGAAAAAAAAACAAAAAAACAAAAGAAGATACACCCTGGAATGTGGTTTGTTCCCAGTAATTTCAGGTATTTAAAGAATGGTTAAATGATCACTTGACAGTTATGCTATAAACAGGAATAAGACAGGCTGACTCAAACACCATTACTTTGAGAAGATAAATTTTAATGTCATTTTCAATCTTTAAAATCTTTGCTTTTATTTTGAAAAAAAAATTCCTCAATCTTAAAAAGATCACTGCAGAAATTTTAAACAAAAGAGTATCGTCCATTTGCTTTTTCAAATAATAAACCTGGAAACATATTCTGATGAATGTCAACAGTGAATGTAGTGTGGTATATTGAGAACTGACTTTCACATAGTGGCTAAATTTACAGAGATTACATTTCATGAGGAAATGCATTATGAATTTTAATGGGGTATGTTTATTTAAATCTAATTTTCTATTCTGTTTTGGGAAATAGTTGTTTGTTTCTTTTAGTGTATTCTCCTTCCTGTCCACATATGTGGAAGCTACCTATTCTCCTCTCTTTTGAAATAGCTTAAAAGACTCAAAGAGAATGGCCTGGGCTTTGCATATCCTTAGTCTGATAGACATTTCCCTGGCTGCTCACTTAAATGGATATTAGCAGCTAACTAAGTCAACTACGTCTCTTGTCAGCTAGAAATTGATAATGGCTTGCTGGGCGCAGTGGCTGAAGCCTGTAATCCCAGCACTTTGGGAGGCTGAGGCGGGTGGATCACGAGGTCAAGTGATCGAGACCATCCTGGTCAATATGGTGAAACCCCGTCTCTACTAAAAATACAAAAAATTAGCTGGGCATGGTGGCGCGTGCCTGTAATCCCAGCTACTCAGGAGGCTGAGGCAGGAGAATTGCCTGAACCCAGGAGGCGGAGGTTGTGGTGAGCCGAGATCCCGCCATTGCACTCCAGCCTGGGTAACAAGAGTGAAACTCCGTCTCAAAAAAAAAAAGAAAGAAAAGAAAAGAAATTGATAACGGCTTAAAAATTAGCAAAATCTCTGTTTTGCTATGGCCTTATGTGTTGACAGTCTTATCTTAAAGACAAAAAATTTTAATTGTATGGATTAACATTAACTTTGGCAAAAATTAAAATGCAGGCAGGGAATTTTTTTTTCAACAACAGAAACTAGCAAAAGCAAAGATACAGTAAAAATTGAAAGTTTCCAGTGTAGAGATATAAATATAATAATTCACACAGCCAGGGATGATTAATGAATAATACAATGTTTAGGGGATGATCATTTGAATATAGGATATTAATACTTTTAAAAAACATTTTTCCAATTAGTTCAGTATAAAAAAGGTGTCTTTGAAAGGTACAGATCTGGCATCACAATAATGGTGATCGACAAATGGTGGAACAGTCCTGGTATCACGATCATGGTGATAGACAAATGGTGGAACAGTCCTGGTATCACGATCATGGTGATAGACAAATCGAAGAGTCCAGGTATCACGATCATGGTGGGAGACACACAGGAACTTCTCTGCCTGCAGATGGCTGAGGTAGCATTGACCCTGCAGTGTTCCCGCAAAAACACTTAGGCTGAAGTTAATCATGAGGACATTTTCAGACAACTGCAGAGTATAAACCATCGACGCAGACAGCTGACCTGTCTACAGACAAGCCCATGTCACCACCATCAAGGACAACAACAAAAAGGTGAGGAGACACTTTGGGTTCAAAAGAACTAAAGAAATGGAGCTGCATTATCTTTCGACTCTTTTTCAACCCAAAATGTCTCTTCTCTTTCAGTTGTGTGATCTGGGGTGACATGGGCTGTCTGAAGGAGACAGGTCAGTTGTGCTGCTCATTGGTCTACATTCTGAAGTTGTCTGGAGATTACCTCAGGCTATGAAACTCATGCTAAGTGTTTTCAGGAAGAACATGGCATTGTTCACACTCTGCACCGGCAGAGTCCCAGGTGACGTGTTGTCTCAGTGTGGGAATGTGACCCCTATCCGGGAGACCAGGTGAAGTCTTATCACCATCATAGTGAGAAACCTACTGTCCGTGTCCAAAGTCAAGCGAACATGCTCTTCTACAAATAAAAAAGAGCACATGTGTAAGCCTGGCAGGTGTAAAATAACTCAGGATAGGCTGGATACATGGAATCCAATACATCCAGTGAGTACCGGAAGACTTCAGGCTCTTCTGCTTCCACCAGCTCCATGATGAGCCTAGAAAAGGAGAAAAAAACAAAGAATAAGTCAAGGAAAATAAGACACCGCAGAGCCCCAACTAGCTTTCATGGGGAGCACAAGAAAGTCGTTAATAAAAAAATAAAAATAGATCCCTTAAAGACGTAACAAATTATTGCCCTATGTTGGGATGGGCAAGAGTAGGGTAAAAAAGAATGAAAGAAAGAGAGAGAGAGAGAGAGAGAGAGAGAGAAAGTAAGCTCAGCTAACCGCCCAGGTGACACACTCATGAGGGAGGAAAAGGACACTCTGAGTGAGTACCCTCAGGACACACGGCGGACACTGATCATAAAAACAAGTATGCTCAACCTACGGCACTTAGTACATGATAAGCGGAGGAAGAAATGGAAACCTGAATATCTACTGCAATGCAAACCAACAGCAATGTTAGTAGGAGTAGTTCAGGCTTCGTTGAAACCATGGTATCGATATTGTCAGCCCACTCCCTTCTCCCTGGACCTGGCATCTCCAGGTGTCTGCTCAAAGTTACCTGGGGCATGGTGGGTCTTGGTCTTCTTCCTCTTCTTGCTTATTTTAATCTCTGCAATAAATTCAGACAGGGACAGACAAAATAAGCCAATTCCCCTACACCCATAACAGTCCACTGTCTAATCCCTACACACGGACCTCAGGCTCCTCAGCATGAGGACAGGACAATGTGAGAGACAGACTTCAGGAGATCCCAAGGCCAATCATGATAGAGATTCCTCGGTTTGTGTCTCAGAACCAATGGTGAAGTGTCCCTATTCTGGTAGAGCATTAACCTTTGATCCCAAGTGTGTACAAACAGTTACACCAAGTGTGTACAAACAGGGAAGAACCTCCCAGACATGCTTGGGGAACAAAACTCATGAGGAACTTGGTAGCTGGCAAGAGACATTGAATTCAGATGGACAGACAGCTCGTGGGCATGGGCTGCATAGCTTGGTGTGAGTGTGCAACACCTGCCTTGGGTTTCAATGTCCTGACAGTCGGTCCAGGGTGCGACGGGCATGGCCTGAGACTAGAGAGAGAGCAAAGCTCACTGACCCACCCCATGTACGTGCCTCAGACTGAATCCAGAGTGACTGAAATCTACACTGATGTACAGGGTCAGCCCACAGAGATGACAACTCTCAGCCCGGACAGGGGAGCAAAGCCCAAAGACTATGGGGTCTATCTGGGACACAAAATGGAGCTTTACCGCCTTCACAATGGAGTACTCACTGTCTACGTCACGAGCCAAGTCGACTTGCTGCTCCTCTAATGAGTGCAAGTTGCTCCTGTAAGGCTCATTGAAGGCAGATGTGCCAAGAGGAACTGAGAGAGTCGAATAACCTTCATACCAGGACTCCTGGGGGGCTTCCTCCTCCACAGACTCCTGCGGATTCCTGATGAGCCAGGCAGGACAGGGTGACAGAAGATTAAACCAACAGAGATTAGACAACAGAGTATCCCAGCTGATCTGATGGAAGTCAGAATGAAGTGGTCCCAGAAAGCAAAGGAATTTTCCCTTCAAGAGAAAAAAAAAAACTATCCTTCTAAATGCAGGGCGGAGGGTGACTACCCTGGGGACAGATCACAAATGAGCAGCAGGTGCTCAGTGCATTTGCACAGATGAGCCACTGCAGGCCACCCAGACTCCCTGTAAACTCTCATCATGAACTGCAGCACAAGACCCAACACGGGGCTTCAACTACTTCGCATCAGTTGTGTTGAATTTTCCACGTGGCGTTCAAGTGAACAGAGCTCTTGAGGCATTTCAGACACCCAGATCTTGGGTATTAAGGGCCTCCCTTTTCCAGTATTTTGATATCATATGTATACTTTTTGAATTTCTTCTATTCACAAATCCTAGCAAACATGCTAACAAGAAATACAAAGAAAGCATATATGCGTCTCTCAATGGATTTAAACACATGTGAGAGAACAGGTGAAATCAGGAAATCCCCATTTGCTGAGGTCACCTGGCTCATCTGATTGCATGTTCCTATATTAGGACGACTAAGAAATTAAAACGTATAAAAGTGCCACAAATCACGCACAACATTGTCAATAAAGAAAATTTGTAGCTGGGTGAAAGGAAGAAAGAGTTCCAGTCATCACTTCCTCGGTTTCCCTGGATCTACAGTCTCCAGGTGTCACTACTGAACAAACAGCTGAAAACTCCACAGCATTACCTGTGGGGCACTGGCCCATTTTCTTCCTCTTCCTCATCATCACTTTGACTTTCTGTAAACAAATTCAGAGAAGCAGGTCACGTGAAGAACATCACACATCACATGTGACCAAATCAGTGTTAAGTCACAGCACAAGCACAGAATTGTTCCCAGGGCAAGAATGCAAATTCTGACAGGAAGATTCCAGGGTGCCCTAGATGAAGCCTGGTAAGTAGGTGAGTCTGCTTTCCAGATGCCCGGGCTAAAATCTCCCTGTACAGGTACACCATAATGCCGTATTCTCTCCGCGAGTCTATGCAAAGTTAAACCAAATTTTTTCCCAGAAAGTCTCCAAAAATTAGTTAAACTATTTTCGGGGAGTGTTGCTACAACACTGACATATCTCACCAGGTAGCAAGGTCATTGAATGGTTAGATGCATCCGTACTTGAAACTGGACAGATATGTAAATTCTAACAACACTTGCTTTAAAAACAATCTGTGAGCTTTGCATAGTGGCAGTATCATAGCCAATGAGGTTTATCTGAGACGCAATTACCAGTAAATGAAAATTTTTCCCAATACCCCGCCGTGATGACTTGCAATACAGTCTCTCATTGGCAGTTTTTTGAGTGTCTCTAGGGAGACTGAATTAAAAAAAGATTAAAAAAAAAATCTTTGGGCTGGGCACGGTGGCTCACGCCTGGAATCCCAGCACTCTTCAGAGGTGAGCATTTCACGAGGTCAGGAGATCGGGACCATCCCGGCTGACACGGTGAAAGCCTGTCTCTACTAAAAATACAAAGAAATTAGCTGGGCACGGTGGCACGCGCCTACAGTCTCAGCAACTCGGGAGGCTGAGGCAGAACAATCGCCTGAACCCGGGAGGCAGAGGTTGCAGTCACCTGAGATCGTGCAACTGAACTCCAGAGGGAGACTCCATAACCCATCACCCCCAAAAAAATAAAATCTGTGATTTCAAAGAACAAGACAGGTGAACCATTTAAGGTCAGGGGTTCAAGACCAGCCTGGCCAATATGGTGAAACCTCGTCTCTACTAAAAATACAAAAATTAGCCAGGTGTGGTGGTGGGCACCTGTGGTCCCAGCTACTCAGGAGGCAGAGGCAGGAGAATCACTGGAGTCCGTGAAGCGGAGATTGCAGTAAGCCAAGAGGGTGCCACTGCACTCCAGCCTGGGTGACAAAATAAGACTCCAACTCAACAACAGCAAACAACACGTGATGCTACCAAGAACAATCGCACCGGCCGTGGCACTGACGGGGCGGAGAGCCGGGGTGAGCCTCGCTTTACGGAAACATACCAGCAAGGTAAAGGGCAAATGTTTTCATCCTGGTTTCAAGGTGACTGTGCAGCTAAGCAAGCTGACTTAAAAGAGATCAAGACTGGCCGGGCGCGGTGGCTCAAGCCTGTAATCCCAGCACTTTGGGAGGCCGAGGCGGGTGGATCACAAGGTCAAGAGATCGAGACCATCCTGGTCAACATGGTGAAACCCCGTCTCTACTAAAAATACAAAAAAGTAGCTGGGCATGGTGGCGCGTGCCTGTAATCCCAGCTACTCAGGAGGCTGAGGCAGGAGAATTGCCTGAACCCAGGAGGCGGAGGTTGCGGTGAGCCGAGATCGCGCCATTGCACTCCAGCCTGGGTAACAAGAGCGAAACTCCGTCTCAAAAAAAAAAAAAAAAAAAAAGAGATCAAGACTGAAGCTCGGAGCAGTGAAACCTGGGGAACGATATCCCCCAATAAACAGGCAAGGCTCCCCGTTTCCTTAAAAAGAAATGGAAACTCAATGAACATCGTTCAGGGACAGATGACATCATTACAGGTGATGAGAGATACCGACTCAAAGCTAGGACACCTGACAGACACCTACTGGACGCCTCCTGCACTCAGGTGACCGTGAGTTTGTCACACTGGCCTGGGGTCTGGTAACTTGATACTTGGGCCTGGGAGACAAACGCACGGCACGAGCTGAGGAAGAGATAAAAATTCCCCGATCATCTGTGTTTACTATCCCATCCCACATTTTTATTCAAACCCATCCGTGTGTATCGAGCCCGTCTTCCGAGGTGATCTTCCCCAGCCTAGACAGAGGTGCCAAAAACAAGGAATGTAGAGGTCACCTGAAAGAATGATTTTTACTTTTCCCAACCTGGGAAGTGAAAAAGACATTTAATTGTCTTGATTTTCATCTCTCTCTTTTTATTTTTTATTTTTTTTGAGACGGAGTTTCGCTCTTGTTACCCAGGCTGGAGTGCAATGGCGCGATCTCGGCTCACCGCAACCTCCGCCTCCTGGGTTCAGGCAATTCTCCTGCCTCAGCCTCCTGAGTAGCTGGGATTAGAGGCACGCGCCACCATGCCCAGCTAATTTTTTATATTTTTAGTAGAGACGGGGTTTCACCATGTGGACCAGGATGGTCTCAATCTCTTGACCTCGCGATCCATCTGCCTCGGCCTCCCAAAGTGCTGGGATTACAGGCATGAGTCACCGCGCCCGGCCAGATTTTCATCCCTCTTATTACTGGTTAGTTTGAATATCTATCTTCTATTCATTCTATTTATTTTCCTTTCTGGTACCTACTACTCTTTGACATCTTTGTTTAAGCTTTATATAGTTGCTTTTTACCTATTAATTGTTGTAATCACCCACTAAAGAGTAAATTCTGGCTGGGGACAGTGGCTCATGCCTATAATCCCAGCACTTTGGAAGACCCTGGTGAATGGATCACTTGAGGCCGGGAGTTTGAGACCAGCCTGGCCAACATGGTGAAACCCCATCTCCACTAGAAATACAAAAATTAGCTGGGTGTGGTGACGCATGCCTGTGATCCCAGCTACTCAGGATACTGAGACATGAGAATCACTTGAACCCAGGAGGCAGAGGTTGCAGTGAGCCAAGATCGGACCACTGCACTCTAGCCTAGGCGAGAGAATAAGACTCAGTCTAAAAAAAAAAAAAAAAAACAGAGTAAGTTCCATCACAGCATGGATTAAGTCTCATTCACCACTGTACCTTAAGTGCCTACTATATTTTATCTACTCAACATATAATAGTTAAATGAATGAATAAAAGTTAGATTGTAGGGGAGCCCATGAAAGAGGATATTGGCTAACTTCCCACAGATTGACTCCCCTTTTCCTGGTTTTCATGCCTCAAGCTCTGTTAAGCCTGGAGGAGGGCGTTTTGTCTTTACAAAGATACAGCTCCAGATCACCCCTCTGGATCAGTTCCCTACATCAGATTTCCTCTGTTCATGAATATGATTTCCTGTGAAGTTTCTTTACGTGATGACCATAATGAATGTTGAGTTTTAGTCCCTGGTCGCCTCACGTAATGACTGTTCCATTCATGACTTTTTGCCCTAAGTGGCTATTAAAAAGTGATGTCACTTTTTGGACAGATCCTTTTTTTTTTTTTTGGAATAATGACGTCACCCCAAAACAAATAAACATGCTATAAGAAATTATATTTCGACGTCCTGTTTCAAGCAGACACTGTATAGAAGGATGCCTATGAATGAGTGTATAGGGAGGTGGCCAAAGAGGGGCCCCCCTCTGTAATCTGCTTTCTGATGCTCAGGTGAGGACTCTGCAAACCACACATTTTTTGCTTGCTGGCTTTATTCGTTTCTGACACTAAGGGGTGTTAAAAGGAGACTGAAAGGCTGGAGGAGGGATGTCGGTATTGCTGCTTCTTGTTTTGCTTCTCCTTTCTCTAGCATCACTCCCGCAATCATAGTTCACCCTGAGAGGGGGTGTTGTTTCCAGTCTCATTTCCTAAATCCCAGAGCCACCCTCATGGTCCCCTCTCAAAGGCAAGAGCATCAGCCAATGGGCACCGCTTCTTCAGAGGTCTGAGTCCCTGCGACACTAGGTACTTCCTCTGAGTTCTGGGGGCACCTGCAACCTCCTTCTCAGAAGCCAGCCTCCCAGTTATGTGGGGCCCTTCTTCCAAGTTACCAGGTTCTAACAACCTAACCCTTTTACCTTTGTTTCTACAACCCTAGGGTCGATCACTGCTTCGCTTCCTATACTTACTACCTCTGTGTTTCATCAGTTCCCCTTTTTCTCTTTTTAGACCTCCAATATCTGTTTAAGTCCTTATATTAATTCCTTCTGGTACACTGGTTTTTTTTTTTTTTTTTTTTTTTTTTTTGAGACAAGGTATCACTCTGTCACCCACACTGGAGTGCAGTGATGCAATCACAGCTCACTGCAGCCTGAAACTTGTGGGCTCAAGCAAGTATGTCACCATGCCCAGCTAATTTTTTTCTTTAGACACAAGGTCTCACTCTTTTTCCCAGGCTAATCTTAAACTACTAGATTCAAGTGATCCTCCCACTTCGGCCTCCCAAAGTGTTGAGATTACAGGCGTGAGCCACCATGCCTAACCCATTTTCATTTTAGACCCTGGATAACACACAGTACTACTCACCAATTTACATGATGTGACCATGTGCATGTACGTGTGTTTGCATTTGTATGTATTATTTGGGATTTATTATACATAGGATCACACCATCTGCAAATTGAGGTAATTTCTTTTCAAAAATATTTTTTCTCATGTTAACTTTTGCAAGACATTTTGGCCAGGTATAGAATTGTAGAGTGACAGTTTTGCTTTTTTTTTTTTTTTTTTAGTACTTTAAAACTATGGTAAACTTCTTTGTAAAACTCCCTATGAGAAATCTTATGCACTCCTTATATTTAATCCTCTGTATGTGATATGTTATTTCCCCTTTTATTCCTTTTAAGATTTTGTGTTTATCATTGGTTTTGATGAATTTGATTCTGATGTTCCTTGGTGAAGTTTTCTTCATGTTTCTTGTTCTTAGGATACATCATATTTCTGTAATATTTGAAGTTTATGGTTTCCATGAAGCTTCTTAATCTTTTATCCAGTATGTTTTAAATATTTTTGTTTCTCTTCTCTGCTACATGCCCTTCAGGGATTCCGTTTAGCCCTATTCTAGGGTCTTTAAAAGTTTTACACTGATGGTCTTTTTATGTTTTCAAGTCATTTGTTACTGTGTGTTTCATTTATGTTAGTTTCTACTTCTATTCCCTGTAGTTCATTAATCTTTTCTTCCGCAATGTTTAATCCAGTGCATTCTTCCATTTCAGACTGTAAATCACAGTTGTTGTCTACAGAATTTGATATTTAAAAATATCTTCAACCTCTCCATTTAATCAAAACACGATTATAATAACTGCTCTAATGTCTTTTTCTGCTGTTTCCAACATGTGTGTCAATTTCAACTAGATTTTTAGATTCGTCATTATGTGTTCTGTTTTCCTGCTTCTTGCCTGCTTGATATTCTAACGATGCTAGAGCTTTGGTGTCAATGCTCAAAAATGCCCAAAGACACAACTCAACCTCAGTGTCTATGCACAGCAAAGCTTTTGCAACAGGAGAGGCAGAGACAGCAGGGATGAGTGTGCTGCAACATGGGGGTAGAGGGTACCCCAATTGTGCTTGGGGCTTTCCTGTGCCTCATAGAAAAATGCGCCTTCCGTAATTTTTCTCAGCAAAACCACCCTGCTTCAGGCCCTGTCTCTCTGTCCAAATGCCAGGACAGTTCTCTCACCAGTCTCATCCATCCAATGGATTGATGAAGGTCCAAA